AAGGCTCTGTACAATCACATGCTTTCTGCTGTGCCCTCTACTTTCGATCAGGAGCAGAGCTGGCACTTTGCTCCAGGTTTCTACCCTCTGTAGGCATCACACCACTGGAAATGCAGCCTGGGGAAGAAGCACACAAAATGCAAACTCTTTCAAGCTGCTGCCCTTTAATTTAACTTGAATCATGTATCTGGAACTTGAGATAAAAGTTTCCAATTTTACCTGAGAAAACCAGGCAGCCAGAAAAATCCACTTTGCAAATCCTGGCCAAAGTTACAGTGCCCTGTGGTGGCACTTGCATCATTTCTGTTCTTGTTTTGCCTTTGCATAGTTGCCCTCAATTTTCCCTACTCACTATCAGAAATATACGCCTGAATCAATCCTACTTACTCTGGCTCACCCACAAGTATAAGAATTGTATATCACAACGAACCGAAGGTACATTTATTCTAGTGTGCTACTTCCAGTGATGGCCAATATCAGACATAGAATCATAGAATCATAGAATAGTTAGGGTTAGAAAGGACTTTAAGATCATCTAGTGCCAACCCCCCTGCCATGGGCAGGGACACCTCCCACTAAACCATGTCACCCAAGGCTTTGTCCAGCCTGGCCTTGAACACTGCCAGGGATGGAGCATTCACAACCTCCCTGGGCAACCCATTCCAGTACCTCACCACCCTAACAGGAAAGAACTTCTTCCTTATATCCAATCTAAACTTCCCCTCTTTAAGTTTTAACCCATTACCCCTTGTCCTGTCACTACAGTCCCTAATGAAGAGTCCCTCCCCACCACCCCAATAGGCCCCCTTCAGATACTGGAAGGCTGCTATGAGGTCTCCATGCAGCCTTCTCTTCTCCAGGCTGAACAGCCCCAACTTCCTCAGCCTATCTTCATACAGGAGGTGCTCCAGACCCCTGATCATCCTCGTGGCCCTTCTCTGGACTTGTTCCAACAGTTCCATGTCCTTTTTATGCTGAGGACACCAGAACTGCACACAATACTCCAAGTGAGGTCTCACGAGAGCAGAGTAGAGGGGCAGGATCACATTCTTCAACCTGCTGGTCATGCTCCTTTTGATGCAGCCCAAAATACGGTTGGCTTTCTCGGCTGCAAGCCAGAAGAGGGACAACTATCTTGTGTTTTATATCCTCTCCCAGTTTTCAATGGGTTTTGGATCAAAATCCCTCTGCCAGATATACTGTCTTTGTTCATCATAGCCTACACTCTTACCTGGTAATACCTGGTGCTAAGAGAACTGCAAATAGAGGCAGAGCTCAATTTCAGAGCTTCCATTAGTGTGGAGGACATACTAACATTTTTTTTTTGTGACAAACTTTATCAGAAGTAATATGGTTGTACATTTTCCTGTGGGTTGATATTAAATGCATTACTTACAGATTTGCCTATCACTATTGGTTGGCAACCAACCAATGACCCATACTTTACAGTGACTCTAATGAATACCTAGCACACTCCAGGATTTGTCTGTTTCTTCTGCATTTTTTAGCAAGCACAAATGCTGAACTCCAGTTTAGTTCTAAACCCATGTTTTCATTAATCATCCATTAGGGATAACAGTCTAACATAACTGTTTCTACTCATATTCTCAATGTAGCTGCCAGAATTATTCATCATTTTATAATTCTCTGATTTAAGTTTTTTACCTTTCAAAAGTTTACATACTTCTGAGATTTTGAATGGTAAGGATTATCTACATTTGAAATCTGAGTTAGAATAACATAGGGTGTACATACAAAACACAACAGCTATTCCTGAAATAGTCCATGTACAGAACACTGTATTGCAGAATAAGAGAATCTTACACTGGTATAACTAAGAGGCAGGTTGAACTAAATCAAAGTGGAGTCAAGAGCAAAAATTATGAAATAGAAGTGTATATACCTGGTATTGGTTATTCAGAAATTTCTGAACAGCAATTCCAAACTAATTCCATGCCTCTCTCTCAAGTCTAAATGAGCTCACTCATCAGGGGCCAAGTAACATAGCTAATTTATCCAGCTGAGAAGTTAAGAGCACCATGTTAACATAGCAGTATTGCTTTTAATATCACAGCAAGCTCATTTGAAGCTCGAATATTTCTGTTTCTATACAATACCCCATGAAGGTGGCAGGGTTAATAGAATACGAACAAACACAGATGAAAGCATCAAAGCAATTGAAAGCCTTATGGTCATCTCAGCTGGAAGATTATTGTATTCATGGATGAGGCATGGTAACTGGCTTTACTTGCACTTCTAATCTGTTACAGCACTGTTAGACAGGTAAGTATAACCACCATCGCTCTGAAAAAAGGCTGTTTTGCTGCTGTTAGCAGTCCACCCTACATAAGGTTTCAGATGTCAAGCATCCTGGATCCTAACAACAGATTTTTCTCACCTGGCTTTTGCAGATCTTCTATCACAATCAGTGGTCACTGATGTGAATCCATCTTTGCATTTCAACAAATCAAGATTACACACACACAGAGTCAGTTAACTGCCTAAGAGGGATCTACAGCAGGATAATGAATTGCTAAATTACCGTGAAGACCTCTCTAGTGCTTAATAGTCATAGCATATATATGCTATGGATCACAATACTTGGCACAGGTTTGTATCAGAAGTGACCAACTTAAATGGCTTATGAAGAAAAAAGTATTTCTAGATGATTTTTCAAGGGTAATTTTAAATACCTGCCAGTTTCTGGTGCTAATAATTCTGCTCAAATCATCCTAATTAGCAGTTAGTTGTGAAATATCAAACTGGGTGTTTGAATTATTAAGTGCTTAAATACTGAATACTGACTAAGGAATACTAGAATATGATCTACTGATTCATTTCAAATTTTAAACCCATAAACCTTTCTTGCATCCATAATTTTCTGTTCAATATTCATTGTCTTGATTGCTCCATCAACACAGGTACTCTACCAATTTATTTTTTAAAAAAGAGAAAAAGAAGGGAGTAGAAGGGTGAAGAAGGGGAAGAGCTAGAAGAAGGAGGAAAAAGAAGAGGAGAAGGAGGAGAATAACAAAGGAGAAAACAAAGGAGGCAGAGAAAGAGGAGGAGAAGCAGCAGAAGAAAAAGCAGAAGAACTGAAAGAAGCAGAAGAAAAAGCAGAAGCAGCATCAGAAGAAGATGAAGCAGAAGATGACAAAGCAGTAGACGATGAAGCAGCAGCAGATGCAGAAGGAGCAGAAAAAGAGCAGAAGAATGGGAGTGGGCAGTGTGTGTGTGTGTGTGGGGGGGGGGGGCTATATGTTAGCTAGAATCTAGAAGAACCAAACATTTTCATGGCAGTTCTCAATGGTTACTGAATACCACCTTTCTCAGATTTGATTCTAGGAACTTTGCCCTGTTAAGCCAAGAAGTTGTGATCAATAAATGATAAAGGTGGGAAGATAGGAAACACAAAATATATCCCATCTAAATTTTAATATCAGTAACATCCAATCAATACTAACTCCACTGATTTCTGCAACATCACCTATTAGCAGACCAATCTAATTTTGCACCTGAGCTGACTGAAGTTTGGAGCATCAGATAGTGTTGTGAAGTGTGAAAAAATGCTTTAATAAACAAGAATTAGTGCTAGCAATAATTTGTTCAAGTTCAAAAGCTTCAAACTATTTGAGCCCAAATGTTCAGACACAGCTTAAATTCCTGCTAAAAAATTTCTTGACAGATACTCTCTAATTATGCTTATTTTCTTTGGAAATTAACAGACTGTGGGCTTTGATGAGATTAATCACACCTCATGAAAATCGCATACAGCACAGAACTTCTAACTGATATTTAGTTGGTAATAAATGAGAGCCAGGTTGCCATCAATAAATAAATATTTGTGTTATCATCCAAACTTCACAATAACAAGTAAGTACTGCATAATTTACAGTGAAATAACTTCAGAGAAAAACTCATAAATAGAAGCATTAATTCAGAAATCAGCCTTTTATTAATTAGGTTTCTTTATTAATGCAGAAAGGGATTTTCTGGTGGAAAAATGTCTAGGCTATAACATTATATAAGAAAATATGCAGCAAATAGAGACTTACAATAGTATTTACTAGGGCAGGTTTGATTTGGGAATGATGACAACTTGATTTTGCTGCTGATAACACTGGCAAAGTATCTGACAACACTGGGATAATGGTGAAGCCCATGTCTCATAAGAGAACTGGAAGGCTGAAGAGTACCCTATCAAGAGTGAAGGATCCTATAGATAAAACTAATTTTTCTCAGATCCACAATTAATATAGAATCAATTCTGTAATTCTATAGATTCTTGGTAAACAGACTGATGACTACTACATATACCATTCAAAAGCCTTTAACAGTGTCTATTCCACTCAAAACTAGCACAAATAGGCATCCGGAAGTAAAGATCAGGTTCATGAAATAAAGCAAAACTAATTTTTTTGCTAAGCAGCTTGCCTTTCTTGTGCTTTGATGCTGGTGATGGTATAGGACAAGCCCCTCTGAAATACAGTGGCTAATACAGCTTTGGAAACTCCTTTCCGCAAATTTTGACAAAAAAAAAGAGCAAATTTACCCAGTTGTTAAACAGACTAGCAATTTAGCACCCCAATAAAGAAACATGAAGCACATTCATGAAGCACGCTGCATGACCTGTCATATGCAACATACCCAGCACTCTCTCCTCCACTGTCACAGCACTATGCAAAAGCTCAGACAAAACAGTCCAGGCAAGGTGACAGTGACCAGGCTTAAATGGTAATAACAGACAATCCACGTGTACAAAAGATAAACAACTGGTATATGCATTTTCAAACTTTCATCTGCTGGCTAAAAACATAAAGGTCTGTATTCTTGCTCAACAAAATTGTTCAGTTGATTAGACAGTAATGCTGCAATTGGAGCTTTTAGTCTAGGTATATATCCCCTCACTGACTTACCAAGGCCCTTGCCTTGTGGTCTTCTCCAAGTCCCATGTTCTCTTGCAGAAGGAAAGGGCACTTCTCACAAACCTTGTAATTGAAATGAGAAAAAAGCAGTACAAAATTTTCTCCCTGATTGTAGATGACAGACGCACATTTCCAAGTACTGTCTGTCCTCTGTCAACTGAACCTATAAATCAGCTGTAGAGGCAACCCAGCAAAGCTACCTGAAGAGTTTAAGTATGTCAATAAATTTACTCAGTTGCATCATTACAGAACTTTCTCCAGAACAAAGTGTCCCATTTCCAGCAGTGTTCTAACTTCAAGAGCCGAGTTACACCAGACATGCACATAATTGCACTGACAATAATTAGATGTCAATTACTCTTTTGGATTTTAACATTACATACAGTATTCAGCAAGTGAAAAAATACTAGAGACCTAGTTCAATCTGATCTGACATTTGCTGACATAAAAGTCATTTTAGCATTGTGACCTTTCAAAAGAAAAGCTCAATTTACTCATCATGAAATAAGCAGCATCATTCAGACCTAATTTTCCCACTTACAATAATCTCTTCCACATATTGATGTGGAATACATATTAAATACACAAACAAACAGAAGTGCTCTGACATGTATTCAAAAGCACTGGGTATATAAAATAATAAATAACAACAACAAAAGTACTGCTTAATGTCTCACAAACAACATTCCCAGTCTCAAACAGCATTATTTGGGTGGAGTCTATATACCTGCAACTTCCTAAGCGTTTCTACGTTCATGATTGCATGAGCGTCAGGACTTGGCAAGCTCTAGGATCTGTGTATCTTATGAGCTCCCAACCTTGTTAGCAAGGAAAACAGTTTACTATATGCTGAATTTTGGACTTGTGGGATTTTATTTATGCCTGGAGGTGCCCTACTGTTGCCTCTCCTACTCTTCTGCCTCACCTATCTCATTCTCCCATCTCCACAAGTTCTCCTTTCCAACTGTCTCCTGTTAAAGCTTTACCCTGTGCATTTGAAGTTGTTTGTTTCAGATCTCTGACATGTTTGTTGGTTTTCAAGGCAGATAACCCTCTTCACTGATTCTTGAGTTTCAGCTGGACAGTCAGCTATTGGCCGCTAAAGGGATTGTAAGAACTGTCAGTCAGGTAGCTATTGGCAGTAAGAGGGAGTGTTTTGGACGTTGTGGCTTATAACAGCACAGACAAAACCAAAAGGCAAGGCTAAGCAAAAATACCCTTGAAGATATTATGCATGTAAATAGCCAGAAGGTCTTTGGAAGCTGCTAGAGGACTGCCAACTCTGCTACTGTGTTCAATCACACAAATCCAATCATGGTTCTATCCTAAACGTAGTGCAAATTGTTGCTGTCATTGACCTTGGACACCTGCTCCAAAACCAAGCTTCTCTAACATCAGAAGGAGGCTTCTGACTTTAATGTGTCCAATTTATGCACACTTGGTTTTGTGACAGCATCATCTTTCATACACAGCAGTTGTTCTTCCACTACAGCAGTCACACAGATCTCCTTTTAGCCATAGGGACAGATATACACAACATTTCCAATAGAAGCTTAGGCCTTCTCTGGCACCTTTTTAGCATTTTTGTGTGTGCAGGTGAGTGTATGTGCATACATCTGTTTCCATAGTAACTGATCATTACTCTTTATAGAGAACTGCATACCACAAAGCAGAAAAATTATAACTGAGTTTAAATTATATCATCTTGTATTCTAAAGACACACCCTTTTTTGAAGCCACGGTGAAAATAACATTATCATTTCCTTTTCTTTATTGCACTGTGGTTAGTAAGGCATCCTCACATTCAGAAATAAAAGTATTCAAGAGAAAATATAAAATCCAATGTAGAGATTTTGGTGAAAAGGAAAAATAAATCTTTTGGACAGAATTCTACAGAAAGTCTTCACAAAAGGTGAATATATAGCCTTCATATAAGTACAAATTTGAGTTACTGAAAGTTACATTCCTGGCAACTTGGAAGGTACCGGTAAGGGGCACGTAGCTGTGATTCGCGGGAGATGGGCAGGAGAGCACAGGAAGGCTGTACAGCCTTTCCTCAGAGCCTGTAAGATGAAAAGACCGAGACCTTTGCTTCCCTGATAAAGTTCCTGGAACGGAAATGCTGTAAATTCAAGCCACTGGGAAATCAAAGTCTAAAAAATAATAAATTTTAAAAAAAGCCTTCTTGCATCTGCATCCCAGAACATTTGCTTCAGTTCCCTTTTCTTTCAGCAGATTGCTGTCTCCTCTTAACTGGTGCCCAGCTCTACACAGAATTAAAATCCACCAAAATCTCACTGAAAATAACCAGTTCTAATCCAGATTTTCTACTGATTTGGAGGTTTCAGATAACTCTGAAGTTCCTATAAATATTTTTATTTATAGGAACCATTACATGTAGTAGTACAGGTTGGGAGAAGCCAGAGGACTAACAAAACCCTTAGCTTAGAAGAGCTGCTGCGTAGGAAGGCATTCAGCAGAGAGAAGGAGGATTAAGAAGAGAGAAAATGAAATAGTGCAGCTGACAGCTTGCTGAATCAAGTGAATTATTTGGAGAAGGGCTGTTTCTGGTCCTTTTGCATTTATATTAGCTTGTTTTTCTTCCAAGGTAGCAACCTGCTATGTAATTAGAGGATTTTGAATAGTATTCGTTATTCATTAGTCTCCTTCGGCTCCTTGGCCAACTGCAAATTTCTCAGAGTCTTCTCCATGCACTGGGCATCAGCTTTATGGTAGTTCCAATTAAGCAGGCCTAAAAAGGTACAGAATGTTTTTTTTTTCTCTTATTTTTGTTCACCTTTTTTGCTGATAGTATTCCCCAGCTACCTCTACCTCAACTTAATAACTTTGCCATTACCATCTGCCTCGGTTTCTCCCTTTCCCTCAGATCCAAGCCAACATATCTTGTCTCCTGGTCTTTCATACTCTTTGCTTTATTCCCTGTCTTCCAGCAGTCAAAATATTTACCTTTTCATTGTCAAGATTTCCTTGTCTAAATACAGCCACCTCAATTCTCTGTTCCAGCACATTTCATTCTTGGATGAAACCATATTATCCTACTGAGGATTTATGGTCAAGATGCTAAAGCTAAGAATGTCCTAAGCTGAAAGCAACAGTGACAGAAAAGTTTACTGAAGTGATCTGTGATGGTTCGTCTACATGGGAAATTAGTGCTGAGAACATCAAGCAAATATGCACTGGTATTAATTTCTAATGTCATAGCAACAACAATTGCTATTCCTCGGGCAGTCTTTTCTACCCAGTTTCAAGGGAGAAGTCTTGAAAGCTGAAACACTTTTACACATCTCTGCTCTTAAAGAAAAACCAAACAAATGTGTGAGAGAAGCAGTCTTGCTGTTCTGTCAGCAGAGCTCAGGCTGACCTGGTGCAGGGGTCCAGCTCAGCCCTGAGCAAGGGAAGGGAAAGAGAAGAGCACATGGTGCTCTGCTACAGACTGCCCAATGGCACAGAATTGAAAAACTGGAACACAGTGGCACAACATCTTGTTTTTCATAGAACATATTTATCTCTGTTTCCTTATCCTCTCCTCTGTTGTAAATCTTGCTTGATGGATTTTGTCAGAAGATAACCTTCAAGTCTTTATCAGTGTTTATTCAGGACACAGGACAACCTAGATCTTGCTGTCATCTTTGGACAAAAATACCTCACATCATAATGCTTACTCATGTGTTTTAGACCATATACTGCACAATGAGTGAAGAAAGGAGCACCAAGGTTTGATCTACTGTTAAGCAAGTACTCATTTCAGGTTTTGATGGCTCTGGTATCCACCATATGGACAGCTTATAAAATATTTTGCCATCAGATACAGTATTTTCTTAAATGTGAGATTAAATCAGCAAAAAGAAAATGGTCAAATAGCCAAGCTGAGGAAAAGGGCATTAGCTTTAAGTTCTGGATCAGAAATTGAAGAATATGAGAAATATGACGCTATTTAAATTGGAAGGACTACTATTAACAGGAGGAGGTCAAAAGAAGAGATGCCAGATGAAGTGCTGTACTTTTTATTGTGAAACCCCAGCCTTTTCAGTGGTTCTTGCTAAGAAGATGAGTAAGTATTTTTCCTTAAGCATCATGGATTTCACAGCCTAAGGACTCCTTTAATCTATTTGAAACCTTTCTTAAATGATTGTACTAGGATCTCATCCATACACTTCCCAACTATTTTCAGAGAAAACCTTGGATATTACATCTCTTCAGATTTGCTGAATTATTTGGTGTTTTTTTTTGATTTTTGTTTTTTTTAAACAAGTCTAACAAAACCAGTAGTTTGACTGAGGCTGGTTCAAATCCTTCAAATCCATTTTTCATATCATATATGAGGAAAAATATGGAAATCCTAACTGATCACTTACCATTGCAAAATTAGCTAAGGATTAGGTATGATTTAAGTTTTTAATAAATATGATGTGTCATATTTAAGATCAATTACTCTCAAACTTAAAACACTAAAAACTTGTTTTGCCCTTTTCTGAAATTAAAAAATAATTTTTCTCCAACTGTTCATCATTCTGCATTTTCCTAAGTCTGTGACTCTTCTCATTGGTTTTCACCTACAATGTGGTGATGGCGACACTAAGAGATGTTACGGGGAGAAAATCCATTGCCATTTATGGTGTACACTGCTTGGAGACAGCTACTTTACTTATTGAAACTAGTGAATATAAATGGCACTGTAAGTAGACAGCAAATCCTTCAAATATTTTACTAGTGCTGCTTTGGGGCAGCCTAATAGGCAGAAAGCCAAATGCTTTTGATCTTTTTGTCACCTCACTGTTGATTTAGGAAGATTTTCCATCAGAATATGCAGTAACTGTCACAGAGGGGAAATGCTGTCTTCAAAGTTTTTAATCTCAACTACATTAAAAAATGGTGATAATCCCAGGATCAAAAGGGTTGGAAGGGACCTTTGGAAATCATAATGCCCTACAATCTCTACATAAATCTTTATACAAAGAAATAGGAGCATGTAGTCAAATCTACACATATATTTTCCTATTCATCTCACAAATGTAAGGACAATAGTCGGTTTCCATACAGGGGCACTGACTGCTTAGTGAAGCAGCTTCCACAGGATTTATGGTTACAGGAAGATAACGAGTGGTTTATTCAGTTTTCACAGCTGCTTGATGTCAGAGCTAGCTTTCCACCTCGGATGTGTCCTGGGTTCAGCAGCAGCAGTCATTTTTCTCCTTCTTGGTAGCTGGTGCAGTGCTGTGTTTTGACTTTCAGCCTGGGAACAGCGCTGGTAACACCGATGTTTTTAGTTGTTGCTCAGTAATGTTTACTCTGACCAAGGACTTTGTGAGCCTCATGCTCTGCCAGGGAGGAGGGGAAGCTGGGAGGAAGCAGGACAGGACCCCTGACCCAAACTAACCAAAGGGGTATTCCATACCACAACACGTCATGCCCAGGATGTAAAACTGGGGGCAGTTATTGGGAAGGGCTGGATCTCTGCTCAGGCCAGGCTGGGTATCGGTCTATGGGTGAGCGGTTGTATTCTCTTCTCTTGTTATTTCCCTTATCATTATTATTATTGGTGGTAGCAGCAGTGATTTGTGTTATACCTTAGTTACTGGACTGCTCTTATCTCAACCCCATGGGAGTTACATTCTTTTGATTCTCCTCCCCATCCCTCCGGGAGCGGTGCAAGGAAGCAAGGGGAGTGAGAGAGCAGCTGCATGGTTCTGTGTTACCAGCTGGGCTTAAACCATAACAGATGACAGACCAGCTCAGCATCTACAGCCTTCTCCTAGCTCCGCTCCCAGTGGCAGGCGAAGGGGCAGTTAGTTTTAACACATTTTGACTGTCAGGGAGATGAGTGTCTAGGTTCAGGCATGCATCTGTCCTTCTATCCTCCATTCTAGAAGGGGAAATTTGGTTTCTGTCATTGGACCTGTACCACACCACCTGGCTCTCAGCTCTGTGCACAGCCCACATGAAATATGGCTGCCAGTAGAACTATAGGCTGCAGGGTTGATCTCAGTTGCCTCTCACCCAGTGCTCCCACAGATTCTTACCTCACTCTGTTCCTGTCTCTCTGGCCACCTCCTTCTCCCACCACTGCCCAGAAAGTGGGGAGCACCTTGTAGTTCTCATTTAACAGGAGGGAGAAACTTGTCCTCAGAAATGCAAGCAGACAAAAGGTAGCTCCCAGCCAATAACAAGGTATGACACACTATTTTGGTGAATGGAATTCAAGTGAAGATTACTAGGGAGAGATGACATGACTTACCTGGCTGGAAAGTATTTAATTTATTTGCACATATACTGACATTACTATGAAAGGAACCAATGACTGCAAGTAATAAAGGGTTGCATTAAATATGCCAGGTAAATAGAAACAATGGGATCTTTGATCAACATTGAGAAAATATTAGTAAAGAATACTGATACTTTTTTAATGGAAAAATACTAGAATTTTACTAGAATTAGGAATTTATCAATTATTTAACCTCATTACTGCTATGGTGTCCAAGGGAAATGAATTCAAATAATCTGATGTGATTTGTTTTGACTATGAATACATCACAGAAAATTTGCTAAGGTAAAGAAGTGCAAAGGGTAAAGCTGCTAGTTAAAAATTCAGTTTGAGACACAACAAATAGGCGTAGCTGGTAACAACGTCATGAGGAAATAACAAGAGATTTCAAGGGTTAGTTTTGACAGCTCATGTTAATATTGCAGTTACTCCAAGAACTTGATTTACAAATTCTACAGGTTCTAATATTGCTGATTATTATCCTCATTTGATAAAATATATGAACTGAAATAGTAAAAACAAAGCATGGGATTTAGCCTCTATTCAAATCAAGGTAAAGGCTCCAGGTGACTTTAAATTAAGCAAGAAATAGAAGTGTTCCATAATAGGTTAAAACAAAACAAAGAATAAACTCCAAACCTCTGAGATAAGCTCTGCTCCCCATTTGTGCCATTTATTTAAACAGGTAAGTTCTCAGTGAAGCTCTCTCTCTGTTTTTAACTTGCCCACAAACATTCACAGAGTTTAGCAGGAGTAGAATCCAGTTCGGTTTCCCAGTCAAACGTGACCCTTTGTATTCTGCCCTGTGCCTGGGACTTGCAGGTGCTATTGGAAAACAAATAGAAAAAACAGATGACTACACTGTTATCCATAATGGAGGGCTAAAACATAAAGGAAGCCTAAGTAGCTACCAAAGACAACAACAAATCTTACTCCAGTCAGCAACGAGGACAGCTTTTGAAAACTCTCATGAGTCAGTGGTCCATTTTCTTTCACAGTTACATAAGGCGCAGTGATTTAATTCCACGCTATTAAGTGAAAACCTTTTTATATGTTCCTTTTCTATTTTTTCTCTCTTGAGGGAATGGTAAAAATTAAGCTGTTTTGGTGGATGTCAAGGAATAGCTAAGATTTATACCATCTTATTTTTTCATAATCAAAACATGATGATGGTTATGATAGTTAATTGGCAGTATTTAATATTTGTTGTAAGATTAAAAGCTTTTATTCTGATTTATATTCCCATTTATATTCTGCGACTTTCTTAGAAAAAGTCTAACATTCCCCAGTAATTTACTTGTTATCAGGAACTCTCTGTGTTTTACCTGGGGGAAAAACTGAGGGAGAATTTTTATGGTTGTGAAAGAATTCTTTCCCAAGTCGACACAACTGATCACTGCATATAGGTCTCACTGTTTTCATCAGTATTTATGAGGTGAAAGATGTTAAGTGAAATTCTAATGTATTTTTATATTCCTACATTATCATCCTTATGCAGTTTCACTTTAAGTAAAAAAACCCAAGCTGTCTCTCAAGGAGGAGCTGTTGCTATTGGTATACTGCTTGTGGTATTCATTGTGAGTATAGTAAAGGCCTTTTCTTTGTTAGGAATTGTACATCTTGCTCTCACTAACACAGTTGTTAAATAAGTTATTTTCAGCTCAAGGAGAACAAGTGAAAGCAATTTAAGCTAAGCCAGCCACCCTATGGTAAAATCCACTCATGTGGCTCAACTATGACAAGGATATAAATAATGACATCAGTTCAGAATAGTCATGAGACTTGGATCTGAGTTTGGACTTGTCTGAGACAGGGCATGATTGGATTTTTATTAGAGGGATAGTGCTGTGGGAAACTGCAGAGGTTTCCCACCTCTCACTACCTGCAAATTAATTTCTCTAGAGAAAGGATGCAGGGGAGGGTCGAAACTCAGAGAATTTGCACCAAAAAGTAAACAGAAAAATCCTGAGCATTTTCTTCTCCAAGATGAGTGTAACCTTATTTCTTTTCACAACAGTACAGCAGAGCTGTGTACTTATGATCTGCTTTTGCAACAAACAAAAGAAGATTTTCAGTGTTTGCCCTCCTCTTGTGTTTGCAATGGACAATTTAATCCACAAATACAAGCACGTGTGGGTAGGAAAATCTAGTTTGCAAGACCCAAATTGTTACATATCAGAAATCCAATGGAGTACGTATTCTGAAAGCAGATTTACTTTGGGCATTAAAGGAAGAAAATACAGTGGTGGGATGTATATAATGTAATGATTAGAAAAGTTGACTCGTAATGTTAACCATGTTTGAATAATTTCAATTAAATAAGTATTACAAACTCAGCACCCCACATGTAAATAAAAAATAGTGGAGTCATTATTTCCTCAGCTGTTCTGTAAGCATTTCAAGGTTGTTTTACCACACGTGGTGAGAAGTGAAATACAGGATTTGGCGAGTATATTTAAATTCCGAGATGGCATTATTAGTAGACCTATTTTCCCAAGAAAAGGACAAGGGAAAACAGTAAAAAGTTTAAGCACAAGAAATTCTGCCTGCATGAGTGGTGAAACATAATTCGCACAAATGGTGATGAGGCACTGGATTAGGGGCCCAGAGAAGCTGTGGAATCTCCACCCTTTGGTATATTCAAAACTCAGATAGCCTAGGCCTCAAGCAATTCCCATACACTTCTAAGTTTGCCCTGGATTGCATGGGAATTTAGACTGGAGGCTTAAAAAAATCATAATCTAACAAAGCATGTAAAAAATATTAATTTTACATTCGGAAGGACAGCTGGAAGTTTCTGACATGCACACACACACTGTAATTTCTCAGCCCTATCCAAGAGACTGACATATTACATTAAATCATAAATGGAAAATATAATTTCCACAGTTGGAAACATATCCATACAAAATAAAATAATAGCAAAGATAAGTGTGGCAAAAACTGCTCTGCATACATTATTTCTGTCTTTACATAAGTGTTTGCATATAAGTTCAGTATATTGATTCACAGACTACCAAGAATACAGACCCGAGGAAACAAGAAGCAGTTTGTTAAATTCCATTGTTTTTCATTCGTCCGTTCTAATTCACAATTATGATCCCAAAAGTCACATGAAAAGACACAACTACCAGCAAGAAAAAACATTTTAAAGTAAAGCAAAGTAAACTAAAAATAAACAAGCTTTCAGATCCTTCCACAGACCCTGAGGAGGTCTTACAAATTTGTCACTGTGTCAAGCCGAAAAAATTTACAGCATTCAAAATCTCATTCCTGAGACTTTTCTAGGAAAGTAGTATTTCAGCAGAAGCACAGAATGGACCCAACCAGAACACCTGCAGAACTTCAGTTCTCAAGATCTTCATCTATATAAAGAAGTGGGTTTTTTAAAGATATTTCAGAAAATCAAGCTGACAGGCTATTTGCTATTGCCAGTAACTCTACAATAGAGCCAATTATAAGCTAAGGGAAACCTTCTGGAGATGGGCATACTGTAATAATATTACAGTTCCATCTACCTGAGATGTTTGGAAAAAAAGACAAGCATCATTAGAAATCAGTGGAGACTACTCCTATCACTTGGTGAAAGAGCCCTAGTTTGAACAGACCAAGTTAAACCCTGTTCAATTCATCCATAAACTTTGTTTTCCAGACTTCAGGTGCAGGTGCCAGAGACTACCAGCAGAGTAGGAAACTGCATTTTAAAAGAGCTTTCTTACTTTAAGTGATAATCCCACAGTCACTCGAACAAACATGAGCAGGTAAATAGAATGGTTTTGCAACAGCAGCCTCAAGCTTCCAAAACCTAAAATGAGTGTGAAAAAAGGAGAGCTGCTAAGTGAATTGATTATTCATTTATATGACAGTATGTTTTACTTTGTGACAAATACCTATGTTATCTGTATTATTGATGTGCATGCAGCATTTTCATAACTGTTTACAGATGTAGGTCCAAGATAGGCACAAAATACAAATCTGACTCCAGTGAGAACTTTCTCTCCTGGAGCTCTCTTTCATTTTCTATTGGAGATGAAGAGCAATGAATTATTGAAATATTTCATCAGAATTTATATTGACAACCTATATTAAAGGAGGAAAAACAAAATAGAACAAATTTAATCTCAATCTTGACATTGATTTCCTGAGGAAATCACAAAATCTGCATCAAAATTATAAAGTTAAAAACAGGGAGCAGTTCCATATACTTGATAAATGATACCATGAAGAGCTCTGTACTTGCAGAGCACAAACAGCCTCTGGCATTAGTGGAAATCAAATGCAGATATCTTGGTTTCTCTTCCCTTTTCACTGTACTATCTAGTTTTGTAGCAGTACCTTGCAAATTCCAGGCACGGTTGCATATTAGCTGTTAAAAATTAATTGTAGCATACATTTTACAGGAGGTAATGAAAAGAGGAGAGGGGGAAGATAAGCTTTTTAGAGATCATACCTGTGATCAACATTCGTGTGACAAATGTTCATCTGAGTTATCTAATTCCCTTCATCAAGTTCCTTTGAGAAATATATCTTTACTCCATATAACCATATGCAAGGCATTTTGAAATGAAACTATTTCCTGCTCCTATGCAAAGAAATTAAAACACCTGCAAAAGCAGGTGTAAGTGGTAAGCAATTTTTCTAATAGGCAGAAAAGTAGAAATCAGTGCAGCAGAAGTCAAAGTCAGGTTTCTTCAAAAACTAGCTGGAAAGTTGCTACATGCATGTAATGTGTTTTATTACTTTGCTACTTAAGACACTGGATGTCTTATAAATGTACTGCATTAGGAGTCCATAAAAATATTTATCTGTGTTATAGAAGGTGCCAACCCTTGGAGGCTTTAAACAGGAACTTTACTGTCAGCTTTCCAGAATCTTGACACATACGAATACAACAAACCAAAGGAAAAAGCAACAGCTGAGTTTTCTGTTCCTGGTGTCTCCAGGACAGAGCAGTTTAATGATTCATCTTTGCAAAATGTCAGTAAGAGCAGAGATGACTCAATGCACTAGCAGTCCCGTAATCCTCCTTTAACTCCCCCCTCATTAAAGTTTCACATCTGCTTGGTGTCTCCTCTCTTACTGCTCCCCCAGGACCCCACAGCCCTGATCTAAGGGTCTGCAGTCGTAGACGTACCAGAGCATAAGTACACCAACAACTGTGTCAAAGATCACTGAAACTGCAGTTAATATTCTCATTACATTTGTTACAGTTTAGAGCTCCAAGTCCACCCCTTTAGAAATTTTTATTAGGGAAAAGACTTCGCTTGCCTAGTGATAGCCTCACTCAGCATCCCACTATTCTGACAGTGGCCAACAGCAAATGCCTAAGAAAGACTGTAAGAAAGCAAACATATTTATTCTTCTCCATATAGTCAATCAGTCACAATTGCTCTCTGGTGCAAGAAATTTGTAGAATCATAGAATGGTTTGGGTTGGAAGGGGCCTTGAAGATCATCTAATGACCTCCATTTATAAATTCTAGGGTTTGAGGTAATATCTTTGTGATTAACAGCTCTTTTTCATCTATGAAGCTTTCCAATTGCTTTTCTGCATGTAAACATTGTAAACATTGACCTTTGCAATGCATTGAGGCAGAGCTCACCAGTTTTACTATACAAAGAAAAATCTCCTCTTTTTTCTTATGTCTTCATAATTTCATTTTATAGCCCTGATTTATTGAAAGCTAACTAATACTTGAATCACAAACTCTAAAATAATCATTCCCTCTTCACCTTTTCCATGCACTGCTATCATATTTCCCTTCTGTCTTCCCTTTTCTAGACAGAAAATTCCTAGCCTTTTGCTCATACTTGCTCTCTGTCAGT